AGATGTTTCAGCGGCCGTCTAAAAAGTTTTTGATGGACGCAAAACACATAGCACTTATTACGGTCCGTTCCCATTCCCAACTCTTAACCACTGTGATTAGTTTTCTATGTGATAGAATTAATGTCTTAACACGAGCTCCAATTGTAGTGCCATACAGTGGTTTAACTTTAAATTAGATCTGCTGAGCTGTAAGAGCTGCTGAACATTTTTCATTAAGGCGTTAAGATATTAATAACAGTCACACATATTTAAGTATTCCTGGACATTAATAAATGTACTTTAAGGACAATGTCACAATGTCCTGTTAGGTTTTGAACACTCTGGTTGCAAACTGGAAAGGAAACACTGGTCACCAGTATGCCTTACGTGTGTTTTTAGCTTGATGTTGACCGTGATCTCAATCACCTTTTCCCCTCTGCGACAGAAACCACGTGAAGCCCCAGGTGAGGACGGGTGAGGTGACCTCAGCGACTATAACTCCCGTCCCCTTGGAGAGTTTGACTGGACTGCGCAGTCCGCAGCCCCCACCTCCTGTCGCCACCACCCCAGTCCAAACAGCCTCCGACCTGAGCTCAGCATTTTCACATCTCTCCTCCTCTACGGATCCCAGTGACGACAGCGGCATGGCTGGACGTGGAAGGTAAAGCTGTTTTAGCTGACTGTAATGGCTGCTGTTGATTGGCTATGACTTGATCAGTGACACTTAGCGGTTGAGTCGCTGTTGAAAGATCACTTGTTTGCATTTCAGACGGAGCACAACCTACAGAGGAACACGGAGGAGGCGAGAAGACGACCGGATTGCTGTAAATACCAATTTTCATGTTGTCTTTAAACTCTTGTGTTGTATTTAAGGAATGAACCAGCTCGTGATCTTTCCGTTTCGTTGGCTCCATTTCAATTTCCTTTCTCAGAGGCCTGTTCCGCTGGCAGAGGTCAAGGTTTCTCCGCCCAAGTTTGACTTGGCTGCTACCAATTTCCCACCTCTTCCTGGCTGCGTGGTCAGTACACAGGGAGAGCCAGTGCTGGAAAACCGAATGTCAGATGTTGTACGCGGTTTGTACAGGGACAAGGTAAGATGAGTTTCGAACAGTTTCTAAATCTCTTTGATAAACTGCACTGAGAGCATTGAGGGGGAACTTTGTAGGTGTGATGTTCATGCCTCCTTTCTTTTTTATAGACTGAACAAGCCAATAAAGAAGCCACTGTGAGTCCAGCTTCAGGACAACCACCAGTCGCAGAGGAGGCTGTGGCTGTATCGAGCCCAGCCCTGACAGCAGCGAAACCTGCTACACTACCAGTTGGACCTTCAGCTCCTGGGTACGACTGTCTCGACAATTACAATTTAATCAGGATGTTTGGTGCTTGAACTCTAACACCTGTATTAAAACCTAAAACGGTAACTTGAATGTCTGAAACTCTTGTTCTGACAGTGTCACTCGTCAGGAGAGGAGAGTTGAACGGGCAGAGCCTCCAGCTCCAAAAGCGGCTCCGCGCACACCTGTTCAGACTACCGTGAACCCGCCGCCCACCACCACACAACCTGTGCCTAGCTCCAGGCCTCAGCCCTCTGCTGCTGCTGCTGCTGCTGCTGCCGCCGCTGTCGCCTCCACGCCAGCGACTCCCAGCCTGCCGGCCCCTGCTACAGCCACTACTCCCACCCCCGCACAGGTGAGAATCTGGTTCTTTGTAATGACGGCCTGCACTTGAGCATAGTTGTCTTCCTGATGATGAGATCTTTTTGCGCATAGAGGGAAGTGAGGTAGTGGACTGACTGGCTTTGGTTCTTTCCCTCCTCTCTACCTGTCGCTCTTCTTCAGTGTCTGTCTTTGCTCTCTTTCTGACCTTTCCCACCAAACGTCCAGGATGTCTACTCCTACCCCAATGAGCGTTGAGATTATGAGATCTGAGGGTTTGACGAGGAAAATCATAAAATCAATGTATAAATGCGAGTCTGTGTTACATCCTTTTTTAAATTATTTTCATATTGTGCCTTCTCCCTGCCTTGGTTCAGGAGCCACGTAAGCTCAGCTATGCCGAGGTGTGCCAACGGCCACCCAAGGACCCTCCGCCTGCGGCCCCGGCCCCGGCTTCCACGGGCACCGCGTCAGGCCAGCCGTTACGTGAGTTGCGTGTGAACAAGGCCGAGGAGCCGGGCTCCAGCGCTGGTTCTGGAGACAAGCAAGAGAGAGGCCACGACAGGGAGGGGGGATGGGAGTGCAAGGAGAGCCGACCGACACGTGAGCGTGACTCTCAAGGCTACTACCGCAGCAACGGCCCCAGAGGCGCCGGGGGCCTCAAGTTCCGGGACCAGAGGCGCCCGCCACCGGCCCGACGCAGCTCCCCGCAGGGAGGCTACAGGCACACTGGCAAAGAGCAGAACATCCCACCAGTGTCGCCAAAGTAAAAACTTGATATGAATGGAAAAAAAAAAAATATATATATATATATAATTATATAAAAATTAATAACATAAAAGCAACAACATTATGGTAGCCGCCTTCCTCCTCCTCCCCCCCCCCCCCCCTCCCCGGGACTTGTCCAAAGAAAACCTTTTAAAAATGACAATGAGACCGGGACGTCCTGGACCAATGGGCAAATTGACACATGAAGAACTTTGATGAGTGATTTGAAAAGGAAACAAAAATCTTGCTTTGGCCTCCAGCATTATGCTTAAAAATAATTTAAGTGCGGTTTATCTGGAGGCAGTCTCATTTTGGCTCTGCTAGGGAGAGGTAGGATGCTGGGCCGTGTAATCGGCCCGCTACCTTTTTTCTTTTTTTCATTTCAAAGAATAGATGTCTGCAAGAACAATATGCACTAAGAAGAAAATAACATGCATATATGTCATGTACATATACAAAGATATCACTAACACGCAATGAGACATCCGTTTGTTTTTTTCTTGTGTGCTTAGGTTTGCAAGTATGACTGAAGGGTTGACTGATGTCTGTGTATGCATTGATTGTTTAGCAACTTGATTGAAGTGCTACAGTGTGCTGTTGCATTGATGTAATGAAATGGATAATTTTTACAGCAGAGACTCTGAACCATTGTCCTGAAACCGGACGGTGTGGTCCTCTGATGTATATTAATGAAATGTGTTCTCTGGTGGTATTTTGATCCTGGTTCTTAATTGGCTTAAAATTCATCAATCGAATATCACTGTTGATGTACGCCGCAGTCAGACGCGTGGTTTAGTTTGAACCTGAAATCCACTTCGGGTCGCCCACTGGCCCCGTTGGCCACGGTCAACCTGCTAGCCTGGTCCAAAGTTTTTCACGTTAAGTTTTATCTCCATTTATCTGAACTGTGTCGGGTCTAACCACTCTGATGGCTTCAGAACACTGTCATGTTTATCAGTCAGGTTCTCTGTTTACATGTTTGATTTGGTTGTAGAGTGATGTTTTCCAAGAGGGAGAGAAAAAAGAAAAAGGGTTAATAATAACATTAGACTGTTCAGTGCACCTGGTAGCTTAGGTGAGGTTTGGCTTTTCTACATCACAGGATATCCAGGTTAAGCTTATATCTGTGAATCGTTCTTAACAATGGCTTAGTGTCAAACATAGACTGAGTGCGGTTAGCTGAGGATGATAGCGACGTGATATTTGGCAGCCAAGTCGTTGGTATAAAGAAAATTGGAACATTTTCCCGTGCTATGTGCCAGCTGTCTACGAACATAGTGTGCTAGAATAAAGTTTTGATTTTTATTCACAAGGTCTGCTAAATGATGTAGTCTTGGGGAAACTTTTGGCCCAGTGAAACTGGATTTTGAAGAAGCTGTAGAGGTGTAGTTGCCTATGCTATGTTGTGATAACCCTTCACTAGGAAATGTGTGTGGGAGAATGTAATTGTTCTAGTGCTCAATTGACGGAGGGAGGCTTTTGACAGCAGGTATCCACCAGATTGTTTTGTGCTTTTAGGTTGAGTTTTCTGCTTTGTTTTTTTCTTTCCTTTTTTTAATTTTTGAAAAAACAGATTGACTTAGAATTTGAAGTTTGACTCACTATGTATTGCTTTTTAATTTTTATTTATTTAAATTCTGATGCACAACGCTTTTCTCCCAATCTTGGTAGGCTGGTTTCCCCAAAGTTGTGTGAAATCGCATTGGCAAAATAAAATCATGCACATGACATTTATAAACCGTCTGTCAGCTGAGCGAGAATACTTGATGCATTGACTTTGGGTTTAGTGATGCAGGAAGACGAGTAACCAATCACTGGGGCTGTTTCTTTTTCATTAATGAGTACGAGCAGCTAGTGATTTAGTATAATTAAATAAATGCACTAACTTGTTTTTAAAGAGAATCTTACTCATGATTAAAGTGAAATAATTTTAGAATATGGTTGATGTTAACAGGCTTGCAAATACCTTCAGAACCCCCCCTCCCCTTCCCTCCATATGTTTGGGTTATTTTCTATTAATTCGAGTTGGGGTGGCAAAAGAAAATATAGTAATGGATCAACCAAGTGTTTGAGACACAATCCTAGAACTGTATGAATAGTCACCAAAAATAAATTATTTTGATTTGGCTTTCCAGTGTCGCACTTCTTTCTGCTGTCTTGTGTTTAGTACGTGCACATCAATGGTTGAGTTTCATACCAATTAATCAGCAGTGGAGTCTGTTACAAGTATTTGAAGACATTTGTTCTACAGATCCAGGCCTTCTGGATTCAAAGATGTCTTCAGTGCACTACTACTCCCCCTTTAAAGTGTTGCTATCCCTTATGTGGATAATGGATTAAATAAAGCAAAATGTAGCTTTGCATCTAAAATTAAAAAGAACCAGTTGGGGTTGGGCCTCAGTTTTATACCTGACCCCAACACATCAATAATTTGGTCTATAAGATGTAAGGCAATACTGAAAGTCCACAGTAGTGATATCAAACTGCTTGTTCTGTCCAACCAACTGTCCCAGGCCATAAGATATCGAGTTTATTCTCACATGAGACGATTAATAGCAGCAGAGGCTGGGAGTACAAAATGTTTTGTTTTGCTTAAACAGTTTATCAAAAGTGCTAACAATCAAGACTCACAAATTGATTAATCAACTAATAATTGAGCTCCAATTTGATCAGCTTTAATTCTTCAAACCCTCTGACTCATACCTACAGTGTCAAATGCAGAGGCACAATGAAGGTCTGGATCTTGAATGGATTAATCAATTGACAGAAAATTGATTAATCATTCAGTTGTCAAAATAATTTTGTAAAAAAAACGTTCAACTGCCAAAAAAAGCTAATTAAAAGTGAGGATTTTCTGCTGTAATGTGTACATTTACTATCTCTGAATTTAATTTCTGACGTGTTGTGTCCATATAGTCTTAACCGAAATTTAAAACTAGACTTTAAGTAAAAATATGAACGTGTACAGTGTGTTTGTGGCTTGTTGCTGTGGTGGTTCACCAGAGACTGCCTGGACCTTAACATGGTCATGAACTGGAGACATTCAAGGCATGTCTGTGGACGTCTGCTGCGGTGCAGCCACACAAGCCTATTTTGGGAAAGGCAGTGCTCTTGGTAGACGTGCCTTCCTGTCAGACATCGTAAAATCTGGTATTCAAAGAAAATGTCAAGTTCAGAATCAGCTTTATTGGCCATGTAGGTATAAACATTTAACAGCTATATACAATATAAGTATAAATATATCCCAAAAAAGTGTATATATATATAATAAAGTTATGTGAAGTTATCGCAGAGTAAACCCACTATCGGCTCAGTCCGGTGTTAATATAATGTGTGTAACTGTTCCGATGCGAGGGTCCTGGGGCAGAGGACGTCGGATGTAGATTGTAAACTTGTGATTTTGGTCTATACAAAATGACTAGAATATGATTTAATTGAATACAAAGGACACGCTCGAGGCAGAGGGCGTGGCCGCGAGCGCTGACGCTTTGTGTTTAGGTCGAACAGCGCAGCAAACAGTCTGTACGGTAATCTGTGAGACCTTCACACTGAGGACCAGGAACGGTACGTTTAGTAAACCTCATCGGTCATTCGTCGACGGTTGATACGATGATTATTTAAAAGCTCGTTCACAAGCATTTGCAGTGAATGTCACGCGATTTTTTTCTCTCCCCAAGTGTCGGTCGTTCTTCGCATCTCGACGCTAACGTTAGCTCGTTAGCTAAGCTAACTCGATGCTAGCTGCCGGGTGAAAATGTAGCTCTTTTTGTAGGTTTTTTAATTTACTCTAAACCAGCCCGTTAGCGTCAAGCAGCTCTGGTGATTTACAAAATACAAGTACTCTGTTATTTTTTTAGATGCACCACTTGGTGTAAAACGTGCATAACTGTTGTTTTGTTGTTGCATTTAGTTGTGGAGTGCTTGTGAAGTGAGCTAACGTTAGCTGACAGTGACAGTCATATGTTTACGTGTAATGCTAGGTACTTACGGGAAGCCCAAAGGGCCATTAAACGCCTCTAATTTCACCCAAAGAACGGTCAAAATGTGCCAATTTATCAAACGTTTGTGTTAATTTTTTTTTTTTTAAAGTAATCATTCGTGACTGTCATCATGCATGACATTTTTATCTTAAAATCAACAAGCAAGTAACTCGAAATCACGATCAGTAGCATTGACTTTATGACTTTTTAAAAGGTTGTATTAATAACAAACTCCCAAATATAACAAAAATGTCGCTGGACCCACCAGTATAACGTATAACTCGTCATAGCAGACCTAATCATGTACTGTCAGTCATTTTACATGACATTAACTAGCTACAGTATGTACATATTTTTGTTCACAATAAAACACTTTGCCACAGATATCTCTATAAGGGAAAGTCATAAGTCAAAAGAAATAAATAGATAAAAGTGAATTTTATTTTTAAATTGTTAGTTTGCTCTGTTATGGCCCAGGGATCTCCATTGTGTCTTACAACTTGTTTAAAAATGTGTTTCAGTGTGCCCGAGTGTCACCCCGGCCTGGGTGCCATGGTCCTCCGTTACACATGAGCTCTACTATGTGGTACATCATGCAAAGCATTCAAAGTAAATACTCCTTGTCTGAGCGGCTCATCCGCACCATCGCAGCCATTCGCTCATTCCCACACGATAACGTGGAGGATCTCATTCGTAAGGTAGGCCTCCTCTTCTCGTCCAACTTTAAACACATAGTATCTTGTAGTGTCATCAGTTATATTGACATTGTTTACCTCCCGTGTGCCCTAAGGGAGCTGATGTGAACCGGATGCATGGCACACTGAAGCCCCTGCACTGTGCCTGTATGGTCGCTGATGCTGACTGTGTAGAGCTGCTGTTGGAGAAGGGCGCAGAGGTATGACATGGATGACTCCTACACACTCAACCATTCCCCACAGCACACTACTGATTTTTGGATTTAATTCTTCCTTCCAGACAGCTACTGTATGAGTAATGAGTAATCCATCACATTGAATACAGATGCAGGTCTGAGCATGAGCGCATTTTATAACTCTTCCCCGTTGGTGTGTTCAAGAACGCTTCGACATTTGAAATTGAATAGCGAGTTGCTAAAAACGCATTAATGCACAAATAAAAAAACAGAAGACAAACAGTAAACAAACATGGAACTAATGTAATGAGATAATTACAATTTAATTGTCATGAACAATAAAAGGTTACTCATGCTCATTGCATTTCTGTCCGTGTTTCCTGGCTGCCTCTTCTCTCCTGGCTCTGTTTGTGTTGGTGTTTTAAGCAGCGCTACAACACTTTGGAATTGTTTTTGCCCGTCTGTGTGTTATTTTGGTGCCCAACTACCACACCCTCTGATCTATATTCCACTTCAGCTGCCCTTTGCACTGTGTGCCGCGGCACATACTTGGACCAAAATGTCAAGTGCACAGTTCATGCGCCTGGGACATAACACTTTGTGCTGCTCACAGTGCTTGCACCATTTGAAATATGGCCCAACGTTTTGTTAACTCCTTATCAGAACATTTCTCTTTTCATGACGTTTCCTCATCAGGTGAATGCTTTGGATGGCTATAACCGAACAGCACTGCACTATGCAGCAGAGAAGGACGAGGGCTGCGTGGAGCTGCTGTTGGAGTACGGGGCCCTGCCAAACGCCCTGGACGGCAACAAGGACACTCCACTTCACTGGGCCGCCTTCAAAGATAACCCAGAGTGTGTGAGGGCCCTGCTGGAGAGTGGGGCCTGTCCCAATGCCAGGGACTACAACAATGACACGCCTTTGAGCTGGGCAGCAATGAAGGGCAACCTGGAGAGCGTCAAAGTGCTATTAGACTACGGAGCCCAGGTCCACGTGACCAACCTGAAGGGCCAGACACCTATCTCCCGACTGGTGGCCCTGTTGGCCCGGGGCCTGGGCACTGAGCAGGAGGAGGAGTGCTTGGACCTGCTGTGCCGGGCGGCGGGGCGGTTTGAGATCCGACGGGCCGATGGCACCCTTCCCAGGGAGCTGAGTAAGGATCCCCAGCTGCTGGCGAGGCTGACCAACATGGTGGCTCAGGCTCCCACGCTTCGCTCTCTGGCACGCTGTGCTGTTCGTCAGAGTCTCGGAGTCCAGTTCCTCCCCACTGCTGTAAAAGAACTTCCTTTACCAGAGACGATCAAAGACTATTTACTGCTGAGAGACTGAGGTGATGTAACCATCAGGGAGCTCTCAGGCCTCACTGGCTGATAATTGGACAGCTCATCACGCAGCATTTATTTGGCAAAGAAGTGTCTCCATTGAATTATAGGATAGTGTCTGACAGTGGCCCTCATTTATCAAACCCTGCAAATTTATGCCCCATGAGAGATGTACAGACCAGTCCAAGTCTTTTTTATTTTGTATTATCTAGTCCTTGAACAACATCTAAATAAGCAGTCTGAAGTCTGATCAGTTTCCAGCTGTTCACAAAGAGCCAGTCCGTCTTTGACATTTTAAGTAGGCTTATTATATTATTTTTTTTGTATGCAAAATGTACAATAAGTATAAAGTAAGCTACATTTTAATGCTTAAAAGTAATGTCATGGTTTGTCACAGAGCATGAGGAAACTCTTAAATGTTGAGTTTGGTGGTAAAATTAGTCTATCCTCATTGTAAGATTAGATTTAAATGTGTAATAGATTTATGAATAGCGGCTAATGTCTAATGATGCAGGCTGTCCGGTGCTTCTGTCAGAGGATGCAGTTCCTGAAGTAGAGCTCGGGAACAGATTTTCACGTATATGGTAGTTGGAGTGGCCATCGTTCTCTCAATGACGTCCCAGTGAACTTGCAATGCAATACTCTTTGCAGTACCAAGGAAAAATGAAAAGTAAAACAAAAAAAACACTTTAATCAGGACAGAAAAGGTTGTGCCAGAAGGGAACAGTTGTATTTGTTATGTAGACGCAACACAATGTTGCAGAATATTATCATTGGTTTCACAAAATGTGCCGGGCACACTAATCTTGCCTTCGTCTAGCCCTCTGAACATGCCTGCTTACACATGTGATTTACCATTTATTTGGGCTTTATTTTAATGAAGGATGCCGTTGCCAAGAAGAAATCAAATGTTTTTTTACAATGGATCTTTTCAGTCTTAACTTTCTACGGTTTTGGTTTTCACAGGAGCTCGCTGGTCTAACATTTTGCTGCATATGTTTGAAAAGTACTTTTTTTTTTTTTTTAGTTTAAATTCAATGTTTAAATGTAGAAACATGAAATGGAATGATTACTAAGTTTTTGTCCTTTAAAGATTCACTAAATGAGCTTGGAAGATGCGTTTACGTTTGTTATGCCATCTGTCTGAAATCTAACAATTTCTGTGCTTGGTTTTGTTTTCTTCTTCTGCCGCTGTAAGAGTTAACGCCTAAAGTAACGTCTCGTGTACTCCTGCAAAGGTGCTTTTTTTTCTTTGTCAATGAAAGTAAATGCCTTTTATATTCTATTTTCTCCTCTCTATTGTTCTTCACAGAATATTTAAACTCATGGAGTTGTTTAAACGGACAGCTGTAACACATTTACCAAATCATGATTAAACACGGCTCCGAAAGCTCAGCTGCAGTGTGCTATGAAACCCTACTGGAACACTCTGCCGTGTCATGTTCATATTTTTTTTTTTTGTCTCTAATCAGATGGAGGTTTAATTTGCATAGTCCTTTTTCACAGCAGACATTTTGACTGCAGCAGGACATAGCGGGAAAAGCCCAGGTGTTACTGAAAACATGAACAATGGCTCCATTATATTCAAGTGTCCCAATAAGTAACCGTCATTGTGACAGTGAACCAGTACATGCACAAACGGCAGGACGCTGAAACCAAACCTAAATGGAGTTCAGCAGCCATCGTGAATTTAGCTATTTACCTCTGTGGTTCTCCGGCACCTTTAATAAACTGAAGTTAACACTCTCTCTTCAATACCAAACCAATGATCAACGCTGCAAACATATTTAAAATGCACAAGTAAAATACAACATTATCCGCTAGGTCAAAAACACGTACAAAAGCATAAATATTAATAGAGTGAAGAAAAGGCTAGGTTATGTGTCAAATTGCGACTTAGTGATTAGGATTGAATGCAGCTGTAATGACTTTGTAGGAGCTGTTTCTACGATATTTTAACTCAAGAGTTTATGTATCAACAAAGGTCAATGAATGACTGCTTAACAGGACTCTACAGTCATCTTGACACTGTTACAAATGTATTTGCTTTGTAAAAACTGGTGATTTTGCAAAACATTTAGATGGATGAGAAGCAGCTTTACATTAATACAGAAGTTAACCTCAGCATATCCAGTTCTCAAATCATCCACTGGGGGTCTCTCTAGCCTTGTCTCTGAATTCACATCTATTGTCTTCTAAAACCGTCTCTGAATGAGTTGTATAGTGTGATTTGCAAATTAGAGCAAAATTGTGATGTTATGTAACACTCGCTGTGGATTACATCAGATGCCTCGTCTTTAATTCATTATGCATTTCTTCAAGAGCTGATTTGGAACAATCTCAAGTTCAACCATTAATAATATCTTGTTAATATTTTGGCCTATTGTTTTAGGCTTGTACACCATGCTGCCTTTTACTGCCACAGTCAGGACGTCCACTTCCATGAGAGAGAATATGTTGAGAATATCAGGAAGGAAACCACAGTAAGAGGGGAAAAGACCCCCCTCATTGCAAATGTTCATAGGTACAATAGTTTCAACTATTTGCTTTTATCATGTAAGGTATGACACATTATGGCAGTCAACAAAACAAAGATTCGGAAAGAATTGAAATAAATATCACAAGTTAGCCTTAAGAGGCTTTACAATCCGTACAGCATATGACACACTTTATTTGGATAAGGACAAACTCCCTCAATGACAAGCTAAACTTCTAATGAGCGTCATAAGAAAAAGTTCCATATCAATATAAAGTATCTTAATCATGGGCCACATGTTCTTAAATGCACAGTCACACAAAAACACCACACACCCATCCAATACATAAAGTTAATTTTGTAATTGTGATTAACTATTAGGGGGGATTCTTTAATCATAAAAACAAATATACTGAATAATTACCCTTTTTTCAGTCTTGAGTTAAATGATTCTACTTTATTAAAACGAATGAAAGGGCCTTATGCTAGGCAGCGACTACCGCTATTTAATTAAGATGAGCTTCCAATTCAGTATTTTGTGTGTATGTAAAGTGTCTGTTTGGTTTGTTAATCTTATGTATATTTGACGTTTTTTGACTGCTTAAATTCTGTGACTTGATTAGGAATCTCAATGTTTACATAACATAATATGCATTAATGGCTGCTACCAAATATGGCGCCCTGATTGGTGGGTTACAAGTTTTAATAGGGTAGTTTAAGACAGGTCTACCACATGCTGAGGGCACAACTTGCTTATTTATATCCAGCATCTACACTGACAGACGTATTATGTTCCCGTGTATCCATGTGACTTAAGTCCAACCTCAGGGACACTCGTCTGCAGACCAGAAGCTTCTCCTCTCAACGTCTGGATCCATTTCTTAACATATGGCGACTAGATCTGAGATGAACTCTCGCGATAACTTGACGTCGAGGGGAGTGTCAAATTCCAAGGGAGAGGAGAGGAGAGGGGAGCCACAGAGAGGGGCGCAAGGGTGAGTTTGTAAACACTTTATTACGCTTTATATTCACCATAGATAAGTCCACTATACTAAACTATGACAAAGTAGCGTTTGACGCGACAGTTTCGGTGTTTGTTGTCGCCAAAACTCTCCGCATATTGAATTGTCTAAACTGTTTCATTCGGACCCACTACTGTCTCGCTTTGCACTCAAGTGTCAGTCCGCTAACTTAACTTAAGTGCTAACGTTGTCTGTTTTTGTGAATTTGACTGTTAACGCCTTTATAATAACGTTCCACCGGTTCACTGCGGATATGACTATATTAATGTTGATGTATGTTCGTTGTCATCGTTGAAGCTGGTAGTAGCGCTGTTATTACACATCTTGAACGTGCCTTCGGCCTGTTGTTAATGCTAGCCACACCAGCTAGCCATTAGTTTTTCGTGGATCCTAAAAGTTGATTTCGGGGTTTTAACCAATCAGATTCATCTAACCAGTGTTATTGACAGGGTCCTAAGCGTCGCGTACGTTAGAGTCTGTTGATTGACGCGCTTCACAGCCAATGGCTGAAGAGGAAAGGCAGTCTTGTTACGGGAAAAGGCGGGGCTAATGTTACCAGACGGTAATGAAGGCTGAAAAAGACTCAACTTTTTTTTCAGATCAGTCGGCGTGGTATAGAAGAAGGAACTAAAGTTTTCAGAACTTTTGGATATGTGTTTGACATCGCTCTCTTTTTTAAATGGCCGAAACCACACGAAAAACATTTGCCTTGTCTGTTTTTTTGGCGGCACAATAAGCGGTGATGATAATCTGGGCCTGGGCAAGAAGAGCCACTAAAAGAGGCCAAAGTCTCTCGTAATAATGATATCCATAGTATTGCAATTTGAGCTGTTGAACGCCCCCAGGATCCGCATCCCCATGCATGTCAACACCTTCATTAGGAATGTAGGTCATGTTTTTGGCAGAGTTGTACCTCATTCCATCACATAGAGTTACACCAGAGAAAACTGCAGCCTGTTTAGTCCAACCAAGCATCTTGACCCACTCTTAGTAATTATGTAAGTTTTCATTTTTTATGCAACAGAAATGTTCTTTGCTGCAACTTAAACAGTATCACTTCATTACACATATGGTGAATATATTTAATGTTTAAAAATATATGTATAGCATGTATGTAATTTGTGCCTTTGGCTGAGATGCCAGTGATTTGAAGTGTGTCCATTTTATTGTTGGTTTGTTGATTCAGTGTTAGATGTACAGTGTTCTAGAGGATTGAGCATGAAGGGTTTAGTTAAATGAATGTCTGCACCAGAGGCTGAGCAGGCTCCAGACACCAAACATCAAGTGACACGGTCTTTTTCTTTTGAATTAGAGCCAAAACCTCTCGGCAAGTGTTTATAAAAGTTGCAGCACAGTGTTTTTGATTTAATTTTAGAAAACAGCTCTGGCTCGGTCCATCGTGTATTTTCCTGCATTGTCTGCTTGTTCCGCATGGATTTAGCTTCAAGGCCTTGTTAGTTACGCAGACAAAGATATAGAATTTCATTTGTTCCATTTACCAAATCTCAGGTTCACTCTGCTTACATAAATACATATCGGCTGTTGCACACGTCCAGCTACAGCTGAGATCTCTGGAGCTCACAGCCCACATTTACAGGACCAAACATGTGATCCAGCAAATATCCTAGATCCTTCAATTGATCGATCACTGACCGACTTTTTTGCGATTTCACCATTTCGCTCTCTACCTCCCCCTCCTTTTCTTTTTTTTTCTTTTTGTGGGGTCTCCCCTACCCTCTGGCAATTCAAGCCTCAGATTCCAGAGTTATGGCTGCAGTACGAGCTATTAATACGGTTTGTTTAGTCAGTTTCCTAGCAGGCTGCATCAAACACTAGATGGCTGTGGCTGATTATAGCTGCGACTCATTCCCCTACACCTGCTGAGTCGGAGAAATCCAAGTTAACGGTGGGACTTTGGCAGCAGCTCAATGAGAGGCACAGGAATTAGGACACTTTGACTGTCACCTTGGATGAAAGGAGGCAAAATAGGTGAACTTGATATCCATGTCTGGAATGCATATCAATGATGTGCATCACTAATGTTACTAGCAGACTGATTTATTGTGTCTCGCAGAGTTTAAGTCTGAGTGTAGTAAAACTTTATACTGTCAACTCATTAATTACCTTCAGAGTTTATTCTCAGTGAGACACTACTGACAGTCAAAGCCGTGAATTACCAGAGAAACTTCCTTCTATATTTACGTGAATTCAGCGCAGGATTACAGATAGCGCTGCAGTTTTTGAAGATTTCATTCAAGATAGACAGATTTACCACGAAGCCAAGCAATAGATGCTGAAGAAAAGATTCAACCCATCAGTTTTAATCAGGTGAAGAGATTGGTCGGGCCAGCTATAGGAAAACAAATGGTATTTTCCACAACCGTCGTCTGAAATATATGGTGGACTTCCCACAAAATTAAATCCCACTTCTTCGTGTTTGTGCCCGGCAGGCAGCCAAGTTAATGTCGAAGCATGTGGTTAGTAAGATGTAAACTCTGAAATCTGTTCCCACTCCTCACGCCAGATGTGTCCACTTCCCCACACGGTCCACACCCTCGGTATAACGAGCATCTCGTTTGCAGACACATCTCTGCCCAAATAGACTCTGCGGATTGGGAACACTCTGCGAGGGCCCTGTCACCAACCTGTTGCCTTTCTCCAGAGCATGGGAGGTCTGGAAGAAAATCAGACTGCTCCTCTTTATCGGCCGCCTGATCTGCACAGAGAAGGGACGAAGACTGAGAGACACAACGGTCGGGCCTGTTGCTGCTCTGGCGTCATGGGAGAGCGTTGCATTTCGGCGCACGGCTTCAGTAATCATGTGTTGGCTCAGGGGCAACTGTCCTCGGCGAAGGGAGAAATAGAGGGGAGGAAGGAGGAAAATATACTGACTTCAGCACTGGGAAAACTTTCAGACATTTATGCCTCGCCAACATAATGAATAATCTGTCCCACTCAATAATGTGAGGCTACACGCTCAATCCGTGTAGTAGGTACAGCAGAGGTTAATGTGGTCTGTGACTCAGCTACGACACTAAACACATTAAACCGACATCGCTTTCCAGTTCGCGGAATAGCAGTGCATATGAAATTTGATGTAATGAACGTGATTAAGCAAGCTTAAAAACAAGTCAGAACAACACAGAAGTTCAGCTGCTGTCGTATCGTCATCGGCAAAGTTAAAGTTTAGGAAGCTGATCACAAAAGACATCTAAGATGTGAATCTTGAAGGGGGTAGTCTTTAATTATTAAGGTAGAGCACCATCCTGCTCATCAACTCATGAATGTGTTTTAGAGAAACCTTTAGGAATATTTCAGTAGTCAGTGGCTTTTGTTTATTGAAAGGTGTCTACGTATAAAGGTGCAATGCATGCTGGTAGTTGTAGACAGTGTTGTGTAATAGCTGCCAGAAGTCACTCTGGGCAGGTTGAGAGTGCTAAAACATTAATGATCCACCTTCAATTCCCTGATTTAAATTCATTGACCAAAGTTCGTTGTCTATACTTCACATTTTGTCTTCACATGGAGTGCTGTTCAGGGTGGTTTGGTGAAGGGGGGGGGTGTGTGTGTGTGTGTGTGTGTGTGTGTGTGTGTGTGCGTGTGTGTGTGTGGAGACAGCTGATAGAAGCAGTGAGCCTCCCACAGCTTTAGTTTATGTCACTTCAGCTTCAGACACAATAGGAGGAGAAACCAAACATGAGCATGTGCATATTTAACTCTTAGCATTACTCGAGGAGAAGGTGGATGTGGTGGTTGCTTTGTAGTCCCGTGGAAAGCTTTGGAAGTGCATCTGTTATTACAGTGTTAACAAATAGCACACTAATGAAATAGTCCATGTTGTGTTTTTATACCATAGGGCTGGAAAATTGAGTTAATTTATTGAATTACTGATATATTGCATCTACCAAAATATACTGAAAATCAGAATAACGACCAGTCACATAGTGAGCCCTAAGTCCCAGATCTGAAAGTGAAAGTGATCAAACTGTGATGAATCAGGATAATCAGAAGACAGCATGACAAGGGAATCTAATGTAGGGGATGTATTTGAAAATGATTATCATTACATTGATCATTTTAGATATGACAATTTATTATGGTAAAGATTTGTGATCATACCGTTCAGCCCTATTATAGCAGCAGTGTTATTACGCACTATTAGACGTTGGATGTAATGTAATATTTTTTTAAATGATATAACTCATTATATTATTCAAAGTTCAGTAATAAATAAAATAATAGCAATAGTTTAGAGGTTGTCTCGACTGAACACAAATACCTCTCTCTATTAATAATTCTCCACTAATAATGTTTTGGTCGCCATCAGTAACTTGCATCTCAACACAGGAAACACTTGTATTTAATAAGAAAAACAAGTACCAGTGAGGTACACGGTCAGGTCATTTCAATATATCTGTGCTGTGGAGTCACGTGAGAGTTCACAGAAAGAGGCTGGAGATGACGAATGGTGAATGAGGGGTGCGAGAAGGTAACATGTTGGGATGTGCTAGAGAGGTGAGGAGAGGGAGTGGTGATGAGAGAAGGAGGGATTGGGAGTGAGGGAAAATGAGACAGAAGGAGAGGGGAGGGGTCTTTGTGTGAACGGTAGCCGTCGTTCTCTCTCGTGTGAGCGGCTTCTCATTCGCCAACCAGAAGCCCCCCCTGTGTGAAGGAAGTATCACCAGGGAAACTTGGTCTCGGTGCATGTTTTCCTCCTTTGCCAGGGTTATTTTTAAACAGCATTCAGCTTCCTGCTCAGACTAAAGACTACAAGCCACAGCATCCCCGTGTTGTTATTTTCAGGACTTGGCGAATCGAGAAAAGCAGCAGCAATGTTCTTCTCTTCTCCTCTCCCACAGTTACACTGCAAGCTCTTCGCAAAAATGGGGGACGACCGACCTTTTGTGTGCAGTGCTCCTGGCTGTGGACAGGTAAGTCTTACCCCTCCTTGTCCTGGCTTCCAGGTGTGTGCATGCGTGTGATGCTGTGTGATATTGTTGTCCACATCAGTACTCTCCAGCAGCTGACTGCAACTAATCATGATTGAATGTATTACACTTCTAAAATAATTTAAAGAGAAAAGATATAGTACCTCAAAAGGCACTTGATTTGCCTGGAATAAAACTTCAAGAGTCCCTGAAAAGACTTCAGATAGCGTTCTAGCTAGCGCGCTGTGTTGTGAGACAATGCTGTCTCCTTTCAACAGTGACTCAGTGGAAGCTCCAGTGAGTAATCAGTTATTCTTTCGACCTGTCGCTGTTGACTTCTAGCGCCTGCAGACACAGGTTTGAGCCGTGGCCGTGACTCAGCTGAGTGCCGATAGTGTTCTCACATGCCAGTAGCGTGGTGCATCGTCTGAGTGTGGCCTTATATCATAGCAAATAAAAAAATAAAAAAGTGTGTTCTAGGACTCATGATTATTCAACAAAGGAAACGTCATGTCTCATGTGCTGGATTATCTGTCTGGTCTTGTGTTCAGCTGGGTGTGATATCCTCTGAGTATCTCTCCTGGGCTCTGGAGGAAAAAAGTGTTTTATGTGGTTTAAGAAACATTTGGGATTCATAAGCCGTCTTCCATTCTCTGATCAGAAGCGATCTGTTGTACACGGGATTTGCGGTTTGAACAACAGGCATGTAAAGCAGCGAAACATGTGTGTCGGATGAATAAATGACGATTTGTTTGTCTATTTATTTTCATCTCGGAACATTATGGACACCGAGGGACTCATTCACTAAACATTTTAAATGTCCCTTGACATGTTTATGTCATGTATAAATGCTCTGCATATTTCATTGGTAGATATCATTATTAATTTAGTTGTCAGTTAAAACAACAGAATCACATCGGAGGTTCTCGCGGCAAAGGGACGTTGATGACAGTGCAGGTCTCTGGCTGTGGCATAGATGTCACGGCGGACTTGTTGGCAAACAGTTGCCTGTTTACATAGAGCAACATAATCATTCATTTGGAGTCAAAAAGCTGCAAACTGCAGCTGAAGTCAGGGTTGACGAGAGCAGTAGGGACTGAACCAACAAGCGACCCGCTTCACAATACACGCCAGAGCTCCAGACTAACTTTTGCACTGGTAGCACATGCTTTGGTTGCCTCTTTTTTTGGTACAACATGGTATTAATCAATGACCTTTGCCTACAATACACTGTGTAGCTTTCCCTTTGTACCACAGCCCCAGGTTCTGCGTTAGCCATTGTGGTGGAAAGTGCTACTTTTCTTTTTATTGTTTCAAAGAGTTCAACGCTTCTCTCTCTCTCTCTCTCTCTCTCTCTCTCTCTCTCTCTCGACTCAACCGGTCAAGGCAGATGGCCTTCAACATAACGCCCGGTTATGTTAAAGGGGAGTTTATCTTTATGCTTCCTCATGGTGGAATGTTGGGACTTTGTATATTAAAGAGTATGGTCGAGACCGGCTCTACATATAAAAGTGTCATTAGATAGCTTCTGTTGTGATTTTGCGCCCCATAAACGTTTAATTGACTTGACTTACGTACACACACTCTACGTAGCACCAACGATAATGATCATTATGCACTTACATAAACGCGACAACGTGACATTTGAACTTGCACAGGTCACAGTATCAAGCCCTGGTCAAACATACATTTTGATCCATGGGAAACGTAAATATATTGATTAGTGTAGCTTTAAATATTGTTGAGACACAAGCTATCAAACTAGAAACTGACCTGAATGGAAAACAATTAATTTACATCAGGAACTATCTGATCAGAGAAATAGCAAATGCATTTATTTGATTGAAAACGTTTCGTCCGTGACAGTTTTCAATACCCAGTCTTACATATTATACCAGCTTAAGTATCATTGTACAAATTGTTATGAAAGCTCAGACACATGCTGCTTTTATATTTATCATCTTTGATGATATTTATTTGTGTACATCATGTCCCAATGCTGTTTTGCTCCTGCCCTTTACAAGCAACAGTTGTCTACCAGGAAAGTCTGAATCATGCCCATAATAGAATGCGGATGACTGACTCCTGGCTTTGCTCCGGGTTTTCCTTTTACCAAGTTAACAACAAACAACAACAACAACAACAGCTCCCCCATTTTATAATATAACACCCAGCATCTACTTTGTTGGGAGGGGAAATCCCACCTGCCAGTATCTCCGACAGGGAGATCAGTTGGAGATAGTTTCCTCTGCAAGATCCAGCCGCCCTGTTCAGAGGAAAGAGACAAATTAGACATGTAGTTGTATTGGTGAAGCTAAAAATAAACCCCCTGACACTTGACTGTGTTTCCACTTCACTCTCTCACGTATGAACTCGCAACTGCAAACGCAACTCCCAAAATAGGCTGCGGCGAACGGTGAATAGGCCGGTACCAGAGCTAAGATTATTCCTCCTACGTCTGTGACTGATTCACCTCCGCCACTTCTCCAAAGAAGAAGCGCCGCATCTCAGCCGACGGCTGCCGGAGCTCTCTTCAGAAGGTCCGGCTTGCACCGAGTGCCAGAGCTCCTGCAGCTTCCACTGTGGATACATGACAGCACATAGAACGCAGGAAGGAACATAGTCGAGCTCCATTGGTTTTTTAACACACACTAGTTTGACAACAATGGTTTCTTACACTTGCATTTGATGCAATCTGATGCATCTGATGTGTCAACTTATTTGCTTTTGCTATTTTTGCCGTACCGCTGGTTTTCAGACCTCATCAGTTCGTCGACATTTTCAACCATTGGTCTCGCCGTTCATTCGTATGCTGTTAAAATTATATTTTATTCGCCATGCAAGCCCTTTGAATCATCTTTTCCAGATGATTTCTAGATGATTCTAGTTTGTGTAGAGATATTTGAGCCCATGTCCTGCAGCTATAATGGGCCCATTCAGGGATTTTAGACGTAAGGAACTGACCACCACCAAGACAGTGCTCTTTACAGGTAGACCATTACCCATCAGCCACTTCATATAATGTACTCTTTCCTCTCTTCTTCTTGTCCACTTGTTCCAGAGGTTTACCAACGTGGACCACTTGGCTGTACACAAACACAAGCATGAGATGACACTGAAATTTGGACCAGCCAGGACTGACTCTGTAATTATTGCAGGTACTGTTTCACCATCTAAACGAAACCACAGCATTACTCTACCTCTTTGTTAAATATCCCCCCCCCCTGACTGTGTATGCATAGCTCAACATCAGTGTCTATTAGCACCGCTCCAAAGACACATTTGATGACATGGGTTTCTATATTTAATGCCGAGTGTGAAAGCGATACTTTGAATAATTACCTATGTTCGTTCCCTTTTGCCAGACCAGACACCTACTCCCACCCGCTTCCTAAAGAACTGCGAGGAGGTCGGTCTGTTCAACGAGCTGGCCAGCTCCTTCGAACAAGACGAGGAGGACAAGAGAGCAAAGAATTCTGTAAGAAAGCCAACGTTTGAATATGTGTTGATGCCTTTATGTTTTATTGTTATTATTAATAACAGAAACCAATGGAATCTCCTACAAGACTCCCACATTGTGAAAAAGGACGTTCTACTTCCTTCTTTCTTACCTCAAGTGTTGAAGTGAAAAATGATTGCTTTCAGAAATTCCTGCTTTGTGCTTTTATCAGTATAATCTAAACTGTTGCATTAACTTTCTTGAGATGATTTTTATTTAAATAGATCAGTGTGTTTTATTGCACAAAATAGTGTTAGCTGATTCTGTGGTTGTTTGCTTTATGTGCTAAATACCAGCCTACTTTCTCAATGTAATGTCGTCTGTTAACTTTGATAAGTCATGTGAACTAACACTCTCTCTCTCTCTCTCTCTCTCTCTCTCTCTCTCTCTCTCTCTCTCGCTCTCTCTCTCTCCCTTCCTCTGTCCTCCTCAGCTCCCTGCTTCCAACTCTGTGGCTGTGGACATGAGCATGCAGACGGCATCCGACGTGAAGGTGAAAGAAGAGGAACCTGTAGAGGTCGACTCCTCGCCTCCAAGCAGCCCTGACTCCTACTCTGGAGATTCGGACAGCTACTACGAGCCCCTGGTTAAAGGAAAGGTAGGACAGAACGGGCGGAGGGGGGGGGGAGATCACATGAGTGTGTAGCGAACAGGGCGGATCCTAAACGGTGTACTCACCTCACTGCTATCCTCCAAGGACACGCCACCCAGAAGTTCGGCCCCCACCCCGACTATTGTGCGTCCAGGTTCCCTCCCACTACACTTGGGCTTCGATGCCCTTCAGCCCACCATGCCGTCACCCACCTCTGTCATCACACAGACACCACCTTCCAATCGAACTCTGGGGTGAGTAAAGTCCTTCTACTGACTTCTGAGAACCACAGATATTTTCAGATTAGACACTGGGTCGGCAACAGCTATGCAGGCTTTCCATATACTCCACCAAAATCCCTCTTTGAAAAGCAATAGCTTCGTGAATACTTGTACAATACAAAAGGTCAGACGTCTTATATTTATGTTAATCTAAACAGCATCTTGTCGATTGATAAATCGGATCTTGAAAGCAAATTCACTGATGGTGTAATATGCTTGAAATGTCTCATGCTGTGCTAATCTCAGCTAAACACAGAGTATAAACAATTTCATATCTTTAATAAAACCTATCACACTCCACATAAACTGCGTAAAATGTCCCAGAAAGCCTCTACTGTAACCTCTGATGGAGATTTACCTCATATGCTTCGGAGTTGCTCTTATCTGGAACAATTTTGGAAATACGTCATTAGAATAACTAGATTTAGTCTGACCGTAGGCTCTGGATCTTAGGAGACAGACAAGGACTTAATGTGAACCATAATAACAAATACTTATTCCTATATTACTCCCGGGGACAGCTGGTAAAAATGTGTATTCTACAAAACTGGAAATCTGAACTTCCTCCTTCGTAGAAGCAGTGGTCAAAGGAACGTTTTGTCTTTCTTTCTAATCGTTTATTGAAATGACTATTTTGCTTCAGTAGAACATCTTAAAAACCCAAACACATACACATTTAGTGTAGTCCACATTTCCCATCTTCTCTATCTGCTGGTCCCAACAATGTGTTGAGCCTCCACTATGTTGTGAGTGAACCCTCCAAACCCAGAATGCCATCACACGTGTGGATTTTGTGGGGTTGAAGTGGATCATTTTTTCCCAAGAGGTGATAGTTGCTTTGTTACAAAAACTTTGTCGTATAAAATAGTTATTCATACAAACGTGACTGAACTTCCTGTTCCTGCCTGTCTGCCTGTCTAGCTCACCAACCAGCCACTACCCCATGATGATGCTTCCCTCTGGTCAGGCAGTGCCTGTGCTCCCTGGTCCAGTACAGATACCCTCCGTCATAAATGTAAGGCACACCCACAGTCTAAATATGTCGAGTGTCAATTTTATAACTAAGAAAGTTTGAGAAAACGTGTGTATTTGTGCATCTTATCTGGTCTCCAGCTGGCCCGAACCATGAGCATGGTACCCAACATTCCTGGAATGCCCGGTCCTCCTCTGGGAGGCAGCAGCAGCGGCTCAAACTCCCCTTCTGGCTACAGCATCCACTCAGAGGCCAAGATGGTCAGCACTAGATTAGCTCTCTATTTTTATCTCTTTATCTGTTCCGTTTGTCTCCACCTTCACCCTCCAGCCTTTCTCTGCACTGCCTTAGTTTGTTCATCATATGACTTTTTACTGCAGCTACTTGTTTATGGAACCCTTAAGGCATTAAGGCATACCAAGCCGACATCAAAAGAACTAGCGGCGACCGAGGCTGACTGATTGTTGGGTCGCCTCACGTGGCTGGTTTCTTGGCCAAATAGTAGCACTTGAACACACCACAGAGACCACAGCCAACAAGCACGTATGTTCTGCTCCATGGATGTAGAAAGAGAACCGGATACAGCGCTGGACTTTTAAGTATAACATAACATGGATCTTCCGTCCATCCTCGTCATCCATGAGCGCATAGAGTAAGCGCACTAGCGCCACCTTGCCTCCGAGCCTCGGCCTCACATGACTGAAGGAAAATAACTCTGGATTCGGCGTTAGGTGCTTTTTAGCTTTATGACATAATGATTTAAATAAGGGCTATTCAAGTGATCGCACTGAGAAGTTAATTCACCAAATACAAGTTAGGATTCACAGACTTTTTGGGCCCAATGGCATCATGTGACTGACCCTGAAATTGTAATTCCCTAGTTTGGCCTTCAAAGCTGGCGCTCTTCCTTGGGTCTTGTTCTGCGCCGGCGTCAGAGGAAATCTCTCCATACTAGCAGGAGGCGGTAGTCTGTATTTGTCATTCATGAAGGGCAAACGGAAGCCTTAGGACAGCAGATACACAAGCAGTTGTTGTGATACCTACAGTACATGAAACAAAGCAGAGTTTGCCTTCAATCTTAACGCTTTCTTTCCTCACTTCCGTTTCTCTACTTGTGCACTGATTGGCTTCAGCTGAACACCAAGAGTACAAGAGTCATTTTTTCTCACCGACGGGCTCCACCGCTAATTCAACGTGCTAAATCGTCCAATAAGCTGCAGAGTAGGGTCAACTAGTGCCAACACAGCGGGACATCCTGCAAAAACTATGGCTTACTACTTTTTGTATTCCATTGCAGAGTTTCTGAGGGCACTATATAGTGCATACATGTACACACTCTGAAACGTAAATAAAGTAGCATACAGTAGATTTAATGAACTATTCATGAGGGAGTGATTTCAGACAGCTATGGGACTCTTACTACCAAATAATGGTTGTCAAACTGTGCTGCTGTGTACTTAAAGATACTGCGAGGAACTTTAACTTTGGGTTGATTTTGGCAAGAAATAGACAATCTTCTTGCAGATGGTCACGTCTACTTATGTAGGTCATATGGTGTCAACAGTATTAATTTGACACTGTCTCATAACCAGTTAAAATGTCCTCACAGTAACTTTAAATACGCTGGTGACCAGTTGTACGCCTTCGCTGCCATTACTTCCAGCTGGGTAAACCACCATATCAGTAAGCAACATCATCTTTAGTCGGCTCACATCAGCTACAAATCCTCCAGAGTTGAACTTGAAAACTTAAAAAATAGGAACTGTGTGACATTGTCGGATCAGCATGGGAACACGACTCTGCAGAATTAACGCATCATGCCCCAAGAGAAGCTGGTATTTCTTGAGGCAAAGGGCAGTAAAACCTGGTGCTTATTTTAATATGTTATTAAAAACTGAGATCTTGCAGTAAAACAGTTAACACTGTTGGTTTGGGCTGTGTATTCTTGTTATTGATTTTGGTCATGTCATTGTTTTCCTGCAGCGTCTGAAGGCAGCACTGTCCCAGCAGAGCCCGTCAGGATACAGCATGGGCTTCATGGCCATGGGCGGCAGCCCCATGGTACCTCAGAGGGCAGAGCAGAGCCAGCTGCTGGTCCAACATCCAGATGCTCCGTCACCTGCACAACCTCAGGTATACCGGACTGTAATGTGACTGTCAGGTCCACGAACAATGTTACTTAAATCTGGAAACTCCACCCAAAGTAACTGAGCTGAACCTTGTTTGATGTTTGGCATATCAACTGTTTTAGTTCAAGAAAAAACGGGCTGTACTTCTTGTAGTGAGATGACTATAATGTGCTCTGACTAAAATAATGAAGCTATGACTCAAACTTCCCTTTTTCTTTCTCGTCTTTCTTCCGCTCCCCTCCCCCTGTCTCTCTGTTTCCTTCTCCCCCCCTGACCCTGCTCTCCCTCTAGGTATCTCCAGCACAGCCTACAGGTGGGCGGCGGCGGCGGACGGCAGAAGATGACCCAGATGAGCGAAGGCAGCGGTTCCTCGAGAGGAATCGGGCCGCCGCATCGCGCTGCAGACAGAAACGCAAATACTGGGTCAGCTCTCTGGAGAAGAAGGCCGAGGAGCTCTGCACCATGAACGTCTCGCTGTCGGTGAGTGGGCGTCGAGTGAGTGGGCGGGGATGAAATGTGGCCTGTGGGAGGCCTGTGTTGGTTTGTGCATAGTCACACTCACTGTGCACAGTTGACAGGCTTTCCTGTTGAAGTGTGTCAGGTGTTTTCCATCAGTTTCAGACAGAAAGGGGATATTTTACAAAGGAATTTACAGGATTTTAAACATTTTTTTTTGACCACTTCTCCACTGCCAGCTGTACTGTAGTGGAAACCAGACTCTACCCCTTCAGAGCTAAAAAACATTAATAATCCATTAGGGAAGTAAAGGTTTGCACGGTCTCTCTGTTTTGAATTATATGACACAGTGTTAGGGATGATTCTTTTTCTTTTGGGTGTACTGTAAGTCTACCTATGATACGAATTTTCTATGAACTATTGAAAAGTGTTGTAAGTCCTTATTTTCTGATCCTTTAGAATGAAGTGTCTCTGTTGCGGAACGAGGTGGCTCATTTAAAGCAGCTGCTGCTAGCCCACAAGGACTGTCCTGTGACCACCCTACAGAAGAGAACGGCCTACTTAGGTGAACCTTTTTAAAATGATGCCATGTTACTCCTGTGGCAGCCTCTTAAAAGTGAAATGCTTTCGCCAGTTGAAGTATAAATCTGTCCTCGTGTCGTCTTCTTTTCCGTGCAGCTGCAGAAGAGAGCATGAGGGACCCCTCCGAGCCTACGGGCTCCCCTGCCCCGGTGATCCAGCACAGCTCTTTGGCACACAGCCCCTCTGCAGGGCACAACGGCCTGAGCTCAAGGGCAGCAGCTGAGGCCATGGCTATGTCAGTGCTGGCAGGAATGGGCCAGCACCAGAGGGCTGAGAGTGGACCCTCTCACATTATCATGGCTGCACAGTCTCAATCTGCTGCCAGATGATGAGCGATGCCACCACCACCACCACCACCACCACCGCCCAGACTTGGCTCACAATCATCACCCAGGGATAAAAAAGAGCAGCGGAACCCCCCTCCTAACTTTCCCCTGATGTAGAAGTCCAAATCTTCCCCTTCGCCCTTTCGCTGTGCTCCTCTGCTCTCTCTGACCCTCTTGCGGAGCCATCGAGCTGTGGCCTGAAGCTCAGCAGCAGCCTTCTGAGAATGGACTGAGACTTTTGAGAGAGCTTCCTGTTCACTTTGCCATAGACTACAGGGGCTGGACTCCAACCTCCCATCCTCGTCTCCCCCACTCTGTGCATCCCCGCTCATCTCCCTTCACTCTCCACTGGACCGTAGGACCGCATCGCTCCGAGTGTATGCCGCCATGAACTTCCCACGTGGACACGTGCGCAGCTTCTAACACACTAGGTGTTGCATAAACATTCTCGATCAAATCAGATACCAAACAATGCACACGGGGCTTCACACTGTTTTCAGCAGGGAATTGTGCCTCATGCTCCTCGACCTGTTAGCCACGCACACACACCCACACATGCCGTCACAGCAGACGTCCCTTTACAGCCTCGGCTCCAAAATGCAGTAGTTGTCTCGACGTCGGGGACTCGGATCTCAAATACTCCCTCAAACCTTTTGTAAATGGTTCCACCAAAAGGTGATCTCAACATGGACCCGAAAAAACCTTACCTCAATTACTCCCCTTTATGACAAAAATGAATAAATTGTGTGTGTGATAAGCTCTCTGCGTATATATTTATGTACATCACAACATAGCGGTTTGCCTAGTGCTGAACAGATGCGTTAATAGCTGGGTTGTTAGCATGTGACTATTAGGGTGTTATGTTCTTGATACAGCTATGTGCAGCTCTATACTTTCTTGTTATTAATTGGCACATTGTCCCAGATTAGTCCACAGAACCAGAACCAAAAGGATTGACATTGTATTATCTTAAATTAGTTTGTGTGAGCAACAGTTTTTTTCAACCTCTCCCCTCCTCCTTACGTTCCCCTAAAGCAGACACTTGTGCTGTTTATTGGTTTGTGAGTGGATGCCTTTTCCATTTTCTATGAAACTATTCTCGTGACTGTGTTTCTCTGTGTGGGCCCTGGACTTACTGTAACTGTTATTTTCACACTTCTCAGGATGGTTTGCACATCCTTGCTGCTCGTTGGAAGTGCGATGAACCCAGTCACCCTGCTCTCTACCAAACCTAAACTAAAGCCATACTGACCACAAATCAGATATCTCAATCTCCAAAGACCACCTTGTACTTGTTCTAGGGGACAGGAAGTAAATCGCCTTACTGTTATTTTGTGACTCAGACGTCATAGTGACAAAATCGACAGTACATCCCTGCTTGTTACTTGCACTTACACTCAGTCTCACATACAATGTCTGACGGTTTTGCCTTAAGATCACGTTGGTGCCTCCGATAACACCGAAAGAACACGCAGATTTGCTCTATGTGAAAAACAATGGAGCTTTAAAACATGTATTTGTATCAATTTGTCAATTTTATCAAATAAAAATCTATCGACGAGGAACATGATTTACTCATTGGAGATTCCTCACAGCCTTTAAGATGAATGGTTCATTAAACCAGGAGTCTGTTCAGTGACGTTAAACGATGCGATGCTTGCCTGTCATCTGGTGGAGAGACGCAGCAAAGACATCTTCACTGAGGGAGAAACACGTTCAGATGTCTTCTGACTGTTAATGAATGGCTCCAGTTCTTTATAAATCCCACCAACATATTTTACCACAATATTTTTTCATAAACTCCTAAACAAGCAGTTTGCTTTCCTTGTGTTTCTTCCTGTACGTCTTTTTCTTTCCCTTTTTGTCTGATACGATTGGTATATTTGCAAGATGTGATATTTCAAAAAACAAGATACCTGTCCATTAACAGGAGGGCATGTCTTTATGCACTAAAATAATGCAAGTTTATTGTTGCTTTGTACTTTTGTTCTGTTCATTTACAGTTTTTTACAGTTCTCTTGGTCAGAGGTATCAGATCCTTTTAAAAAAAAAATCATATTTCTCCTTTCTGTACTGTACTCATTAATGGGACTGTGCCCAGCAACTTTAAAACCTTCCACTTCTGACTGAACCTTGAGTCCTGCAGTCCCATGGGAGACCCCGACATGTTGTTGTGCTTCACAGCTAGCCCTATATCTGGCTGGCAGTCCCTTATAGACGATTGTTCATATGAAATGAAAAGTCAAACCCTATTTAGCTTCCATGTAATTCATGTCTTTGGCACCTTTTCTGTCATTTCTTGTTTTCTTGTGTTGTGTGCTATTTTCAGCACGATACAACTCTTGTCATAACGCTTCTGATTGTACTGATGAATATAGAAACTCATTTCTTTAACACAGAGATTTATTTTTTGTTTTTTTGGTTTTCTACAGAAAAAAACATCATTAGTCCTCTTTCAAAAAGTGATTTTGTTATATCTTTAAAGATGAATTTGGTCGTGTCTTTTGACTGTCCTTCTAACTTATTTTTTAATTGGTCAACTAACAAAGTCTTTTGGCATATTGTTATGAAAAGAGCAATTTAAAGAAACATACAATGTGAAAGTTGCATAGTATATTAATGGTTTTTCACACTCCCATTGTTGGACTGATAATTTCAAAAATTGTCCTTGTACTGTACATATCTGTACTATATGAATATATTTACTTTTCCATGCATGTCCAAGTGGAATACTATGAACACTTACAGTGCTGCAGTTTTAATTAAAGAAACTACATACTTAATGAACATTTACAAAGTTTGGTTTGTTTGTTGTCAGTTTAGTTTCACAACAGCAAAAATATCTTTTCTCTAAATTTGCTGTAATCTCACATAAGAACTGGAGAAATGCAGTTTTTGGTTGAAGTGATATGAAAGACGATGAATATGCTGTATGTTGGGACACTGCACTGTCTGCTTTGTTCATAGTTGTCTGTACCCAGTGTTCATGGACTTTCATGATTATATTGTGACTAATGACTACATGGAGAGGAGCAAAATAACTCATAAGTACTATGGTTCTAATATTTGTTGTAGTTTTAAGGTACACTTTGAAGCAGGGCCGTAGCTAATACGAGGACACAGAGGTCATGTCTTCTGTATGTTTCTGGTACTTTGGGGTTTGTAGCAGCCTGAGGTTATATTCTACAATTAAAAACGTACACCTTATCATATAGACTCATTCTAGTTTTACACTCAAAGTGTTTAAATTGGACAACTTCTTGACCAATAGATTCAGTATCTACTTAAACGGTAAAATATTGTAAAAAGTGAGTTTTTGCTTCCTCAGGTCTCAGTGCTTTATAAATACTGTGAAAGTATTGAAACACTCAATCCATGAAACTCACACCGCCCGTATATAGAGATGGTGCCTTTAAACGAGTTGTTTAAAGGCATGGTCTTGTAGAAACACAAAATACGACAACCTGTAGAAAATATATAACGTTTTCTGAGTAGTGGTGGTGTGTATTTAGAGGCTGGACTCTTGACTCAGTATTTTTTTTATATCCCTGCTATGGCCCTGCTTTTAAATTGATGTTTTTATACTGCACTACAATTATGCTGTTACGTCAAGTTTGCTTTGAAGCTTGTTGTCCTTATAAGACAGTGCCCATGTTTCTTATGAGGACAACACAATCGTAACTTTTTGTAAGCAGCCCTTAATTGCAGAGGAAGTGGTTGGAAGGGTATGTTTATTTTTTATAATGGTTACACTCACGATGCCACACTGGCCTTTTGTAAGTATTTTTTCATGAATTTAGGTACAATTAAATGACTTCCTCTCAAGTAGGACCAGGGTCAGATTGATTCTTTAAGTGTCCATGACACTTAAAGAATCTAGCTCTACTAGCTCTACTAGACATACGTAAGTCTAGTAGAGCTGAAACAATTAGTTATTATTATTATTTGCCAACTACTGTTTTGTGCTATTAATCAAAGTACCACACAGGGAACCTGGTACTGTTTGGGGCCCCTGGGCAGTTTCCTAATTCCTAATCCAGGTGTAAGTAAAATATTCTGGTAGTTTTTCCATCCTTGCTAGTTGAAAAAGTGAAAAATCTTTACACAGACTTTTATTATCTTGCCAAAAAGTTAAGTTGAACTTTTTTCTGTGTGTGGCCCAAGATCCACTGGAAGTTTAATGAGAGTGAGGGTAACGTGATGAAATTGTGCAGCGCTATTTAAGTTAAAAGTGTGTGTGTGTGTGTGTGTGTGTGTGTGTGTGTCTGTGTCTGTGTGTCTGTGTCTGTGTGTCTGTGTCTGTGTGTGTGTGTGTATTGTGTGTGTTGTGTGTGTGTGTTGTGTGTGTGTTTCTGCCAGTGAGACGCCAGGGGGAGCAACAGTTTCGGTGTGTGTGTTTTTTCTCTGGGACGCAGTGAACTACCGTACAGGCGAGGTAAAGGCAGTCACGTGACCCCTCGTTTCCCATTATGGCGGAGGGGCAAGCCGTGCGGATGGACCGTCTCTCCCACTCTGATGCTTGTTTTGTGTCTTGAGGGAGGGCGTTGTATTTTTTATTTTTTCTACGGGCTGCTTCCTTTTCAACCAGACGGCACTCGTGTTTATCGGCAAAGGCATGGCAGACCGCGGCGTGGATCTGTCCGCCCTGCCCAAAGAGGTTAGAGACCAAGTGGCGGAGTTGGATCTGGAGCTGTCTGAAGGTAAAGGAGGGAAGAGGGGGGCTGTGTGTGTGGCGGTGTGTGTGTGTCGGTGTGTGTGTGTGTGTGTGTGTGTGTGTGTG